CCTCTATCCTCTGGCCTCTAACCTCTGACATCTAACCTCTGACATCTAACCTCTGACCTCTAACCTCTGACATCTAACCTCTGACATCTAACCTCTGACATATAAACTCTAACCTCTAACCTCTGACATTTAAACTCTAACCTCTAACCTCTGACATCTAACCTCTGACATCTAACCTCTGACCTCTGGCTTCAAACCTCTAACCTCTGACCTCTAACCTCTGACCTCTAGCCTCTGACCTCTGGCCTCAAACCTCTAACCTCTGACATCTAACCTCTAACCTCTAACCTCTGACATCTAACCTCTGACATCTAACCTCTGACCTCTGGCTTCAAACCTCTAACCTCTGACCTCTAACCTCTGACCTCTAGCCTCTGACCTCTGGCCTCAAACCTCTAACCTCTGACATCTAACCTCTGACATCTAACCTCTGACATCTAACCTCTGACATCTAACCTCTGACCTCTGGCTTCAAACCTCTAACCTCTGACATCTAACCTCTGACATCTAACCTCTAACCTCTAACCTCTGACATTTAAACTCTAACCTCTAACCTCTGACATTTAAACTCTAACCTCTAACCTCTGACATTTAAACTCTAACCTCTAACCTCTGACATTTAAACTCTAACTTCTGACATTTAAACTCTAATCTCTAACCTCTGACATCTAACCTCTGACCTCTGGCTTCAAACCTCTAACCTCTGACCTCTAACCTCTGACCTCTAGCCTCTGACCTCTAGCCTCAAACCTCTAACCTCTGACCTCTGACCTCTGACATCTGACCTCTGACCTCTAGCCTCTGACCTCTAACCTCTGACCTCTAGTCTCTGACCTCTGGCCTCAAACCTCTGACCTCTAGCCTCTGACCTCTGACCTCTAGCCTTTGACCTCTGGCCTCAAACCTCTAACCTCTGACATCTAACCTCTGACATCTAACCTCTGACCTCTGGCTTCAAACCTCTAACCTCTGACCTCTAACCTCTGACCTCTAGCCTCTGACCTCTAGCCTCAAACCTCTAACCTCTGACCTCTGACATCTGACCTCTGACCTCTAGCCTCTGACCTCTAACCTCTGACCTCTAGTCTCTGACCTCTGGCCTCAAACCTCTGACCTCTAGCCTCTGACCTCTGACCTCTAGCCTTTGACCTCTGGCCTCAAACCTCTAACCTCTGACATCTAACCTCTGACCTCTAGCCTCTGACCTCTAACCTCTGACCTCTAGTCTCTGACCTCTGGCCTCAAACCTCTAACCTCTGACCTCTAGCCTCTGACCTCTAGCCTCTGACCTCTAGCCTCTGACCTCTGGCCTCAAACCTCTAACCTCTGACCTCTAGCCTCTGACCTCTAACCTCTGACATCTAGCCTCTGACCTCTGGCCTCAAACCTCTAACCTCTAACCTCTAACCTCTAACATCTAACCTCTGACCTCTAACCTCTAACATCTAACCTCTGACCTCTGACCTCTGGGTTAAACTGGACCCTGAGTTTCAGCAGGTTCTGTAGAAACCCCTGGCCTGCACTCAGTTTGTTTTTGTCAGTTCCTCTCCTAAATCCAACAGATGGTTTTTAAAGCGGTACGTACGTAGAGCACCCGCACTCGCTGCATCACCTCCTCGTCCACGTCTTTCTCCGGCTCGGCCCAGTCCACCTGGATGGAGTGACCCCACAGCTGGAAGGTTCCTGAAGCACAGTGGGTTGAAGACTCAACAACACAGAGAAAATACTGGAAGTACAGGAGTGAGGTGAAACAGGAGGATATGGTTTTTAAACTGTAAAACCTCTTCAGTCAGCCGGTGTGAGGTCACTGACGTCTCCATGGTGGTAACAGGTGGTCCCACCAAGACTGGACCAGTGAAKCCTCACAGCTTTAACTTTGTGTTAAACTTTATTAAATAACAATCACATTAGATTCATGAGCCAACAACATACTGATCAGTCAGAGCGGTGTTCTGACACCCCCTGCTGGACGCAGACAGGAGCTGACTCAAACTGAACAGAACCAGGCGGGTCGGGTACCTGGGATGAGCTTCCTCCGGGCCATGGCGGCAGCTTTGTGGGACTCGTACTCGATGAAGGCGAAGCCTCGGTTCTTGCTCTTGTCGGTGGAGCTCGGGTACACAATGACGTCCACCACACCATCTGTCACCTGACACACACATTTACACACAAACCAGAGCATCTGCAGGTTACACAAGTCACATTTCATGTMTTTAATGTCACTTTATATGAAAGTAAAGACTATAAATACAAGCAATGGTTCAGGGATCCTGCTGTATTWCAACCAAGCATCACGTGTGTCACTAAATAAAACACTGAATATAAAAATATTCAGCTCTCTGGTTCAATACCTGTGCTGTACAAGTGAAGTTATTTGGTTAAAAACATCCAACAAAAATATATATTTACTAAATACTTTCATGGCATGAAGCTTAACTGTGTCTTAACCTCCAGTTTTGCCTTTAAAATAAAAGAACTGTTAATAAAGTTACACTTTAACCTGCAGCATCACAATCCAACAACTTTCTGAAGGGGTTGTAACAACTTTTCTGTGGTTTATTTTCATGTAATTTCAGTGTTTTGAAGTGAGGGACTGTCTGACAGATCTGAAGAATGAAAGCACAGACTGACTGAGGGACACAGACAACTTTAATCACTTCTGCCCAGCAGAATGTAAGACTTTGGAGCAGGGGTCCACAAGATTTTTCTTTTTTAAAAATAAAAAAAATGTGATAAAATATAAGAAAAACGTGTATTGTATTTGTACTATAAAAATATTAACATGGTTGTGCAGATGTATATAACATGAAAGTTTCAGGGTTGAAGGTCTTCATGGCCTGACTCTACAGAAGAACACCAACCTTCTTCATCTCCTCCAGGATCTCGTCCCTCTTCTTCTCTTTGGGGATGGACCCGATGAAGAGGCGGCAGTTGTCCAGYCTCACACACACCCCGATATATTTCCCTGAGCGGACCTCGTAGTTGTCCAGCATCTGGATGGCTCTCTGAGCTGCTTCTCTGGAACCAACAAAGCACAGCTCAGCATCAGGCTGAGACATGAGCAGCCAGGACAACGCTGACCTGAGTGACCTGGGATAAAGCTGCTGCTGACCCTGGTCAGGACTTCACCTGTTGGTGTACATGACGAAGGCGTAGCCCCGGTTCTCTCCYCTGAACTCCATCATCAGCCTGAACTCATAGATCTGTCCGGCTCTCTCGAACAGAGGAACCAGCTCGTCTTCATACATGTTCCTGGGGATCTTCCCCACGAAGACTTCACAGCCCCGCGGCGGCGCCGGACCCTCCCAACCTGCACCAGTGACAGAGCTGAGGTCAGAGGGCTGCAAACACGTTCTAACAGGTCCTGTGGGGTTCTGAGTTTATCCAAGAGCAGTGTGGGTCAGAGTTTCATATAATAAGCTTCTGTGGATCAGCTGGTCCGGTCTTACCTGGTGGAGGCCCGCCGTACTTCCTCTGTCCGTTCTCCTGCACCATGTTGTAGCCCGTCTTCTCCATCAGGGTGAGGAGCGCCATCTCCTTCGGACACAACGCCATGAAGTCATCTCTGACCTGAGAGTCCACCGAGTCTCCATCTGCATCGTCATCAGACAACAGGTCGCTGTCTGTCAAAGGAAGGAAACATTTACCTGTCTGTCAACTGACAGGTGACATGATGTGAACTGACAGGTCACAGGATGTAAACTGACAGGTCACATGATGTAAACTGACAGGTCACAGGATGTAAACTGACAGGTCACAGGATGTAAACTGACAGGTGACTTGATGTAAACTGACAGGTCACAGGATGTAAACTGACAGGTGACTTGATGTAAACTGACAGGTCACAGGATGTAAACTGACAGGTCACATGATGTAAACTGACAGGTCACAGGATGTAAACTGACAGGTCACAGGATGTAAACTAACAGGTCACAGGATGTAAACAAACAGGTCACATGATGTAAACTGACAGGTCACAGGATGTAAACTGACAGGTCACAGGATGTAAACTAATAGGTCGCATGATGTAAACA